TTGTGGATTAAAAATGTGCTATCAGATTTGGGCTTTAAACCAAATGAAACTATGAGTTTGTACTGTGACAATACGTCGGCTATAGCAATTGCTCACAACCCTGTGCAACATGATAGAACAAAGCATGTGGAGATTGATAGACATTTCATCAAAGAGAAGCTTGAAGTTGGAATAATTTCCTTTCCCTTTGTAAGATCAGAATTGCAGCTGGCTGATGTTCTCACCAAAGGAGTGTCAAGTAGAGTGTTTAATGAGTCTCTATTCAAGTTGGGAATGTGTGATATCCATGCACCAACTTGAGTGGGGGTGTTAAGATATGTCAAATATTCTATTAGCAAATATTATGCAATCAAATATTATGTTAGCTGTAATTTAGGCATTATTACAACTGTGAGGTAATTTGTGCAGCTGTCATTCCTTTGATAGATGAGGAATTATAGGACCCTTGTATGTATATATATGGTACACTATTCTTTGATATTTTTGAAATAAATATCAGAATTATTCTTTAAACCTTTTATAAGCAAGTTATTAATCCAACTGACTTTATTTGAGGAAATGATTTGATGAAGGTTGGTAAAGGTGCTATATTTTATCATTAACAAATAATTAGACAAAAATTACAGAGCTCGGGTAAAGAGTTAATAATAATGGCAAAATGCAACAAGAACTTCATCTGAATTTGGTGGTGTCAAATATCAACAATTAAAAGTAGAAACATTTTGTGATTTTTGAAAGGAAAGAACTGGCAACATAATGTCCATGTAAGCAAGATTTAACAAGAAAGTGCAATAACAGATAAGAATTGAAATTTACTTCAACTGGATCTGATGAGATATATCCAACATCGAATATGAGTAGTTCATTACTTTTTATAGATGCACAAACAACCTGAAATGAAAAAGTAAAACAAATAGCAGGGCAAATAGAATATTGAATTGTTTATAACACGAAACATATCAAAAAAATCACTGGTCTCACATAAAATGCGCAAGCACTTGTTAAATATGATAATTTCATTTGAAAAAGTGCCAAATCATCAGAAGATTATCCTTGACATACAACAGACAAGCTATAACATAAAAAACTACAAAAGATAAAACCAAATTTACGTAGTACATGTCATTGATATTATTTAGAAATAATCAACGATTTATAAACTCCATATTAAAATGTTGAGTAAGAAGGTAATTTAATCAAGCTGAAACCTCATCCTGATTAAGAGGATTCCATCTGACAGCATCAAGTTGTCGATTTAGTGAGAGGTGCATTAAGTGCTTGCTTTCATCTTCCCTCAAGCCTATCATCAAATTAATATAAAACCAATTTTAAATGATAAATAACACTTCATTTGAAATTCCTCCCGGTCCAAGGAAAAAATAAATATAATGCTACTTAGTTTTAAAAATAAATAAGTTGTTGTTTTAGTTTTAAAAATAATAAAATACTCGTATTTGAAAAAAATTTAAAATAAATTAAAAATAAAGTGAAATATTTACTCTATGCAATTAGTTTTGTTTTAAATTTCATGTATTTATTACTTTTACCTCTTATAATATTAATATTGCTTTTATTTTGAATAATTTTAAATAAAAAATTAAATTAAGTTGATTAAATTTTTACAATTCAAACTACTGAAACGAATATTACTTAATATTATACGTGTTTTATATTTTATTTTATTTTTTAGAAAAAGTAAGTGTATTTTTTTCTCTACACAATCATGCAATATTTATTAATTATAGAAAATACATTAGTAGTAAAATACATACTTTAAAAAGTAGTATTTCTTTTCACAACATTATAATAAAATTTTCATTTAAGATTTATTTATATATGATATAAATGTACTAAAATTACAATTGTATAAAAATAAAATAATATTTGGAACAAAAACTTATAAAAACGAAAAATATTATAGCATATTAATGTGGCGAGAGAAAAGAAAGTAGAGTTATATTTATTGAAAAGAAAACACACACACACACATATATATATATATATATATATATATATATATATATTATATTATATTTT